GCAATTTTTCTGATCAATGGTAGATAAAAGTTATTGAGAAATCTTAGGTCTTTTTAGTTTAGTGAAGAGTTTACTTATTATGTCCAAATAAACACCCGTGATATTTTGTTTCAAGTCAACCGCTCTCCTATGATTCTATCGAAACTTAAATAAATTCCAATGAACACATATCCTGCATTCATTGGCTATTAAGCTAGATGATGGCTCTTAACTTTTCGCCACTCAACCCTCCTTCCTCCGAGTTCCGTCGCGTTATGCGCACGCGCCGGACGCGTGCCGGACGCGTGTCGTGGGGTGTGAATCGACCTTGGGAAGATGGCCGCCAAATTGACTGCGATGTGGCAAATTTTCAAATGTAATTGCGATCGTAAATCAAACTTTGAATTATTATTTTGGATTTGGTTGGTTGGAAAAGTGTTTTGGAATATGCTAATTGGTTAGTTTCTAATTACAGGGTTTCGAGTTCTTTTTTAATACAATCATCATCTACTTATGTATTGTTACAGCAATTTAAGTAGGTAAATGTACCTATTTAGTAAAATTTTTGATCTCAATTTTATGTAGGATATAATGTCGCCAATATAAAAGTTACTAGTGAAAAAATAAGTTTTCATCCAATAACCAGACCTTAAGAAATCCTTTTAGAACTTACTGACCATCGAAAAAAAAAATCCCTTTACGAACAAAAACTGTATATTTTATGAGGACATTCTTCTTTGATTTGTCTCAATTTCACGATGCACTTAAAAAAACTCCAGTCCATTACTAGTAATACGATTTAAACTACCCTCACTATTTATAGATGCCAATAAAGCTTCATTGTCATATAATGGACCCCCGGAAGAGGGGCTGAATGCATTTTGATTGAGTAGCAATGCTACTGTTTTGAGAATTTGTTACTGAGAAGTGGGGGGATGATAATGATTGTAATGTGAGAAAAGGACGAACAAAAATGCGGATTAAAGATTAAGATTTTTTTAGACAGGAGGCAAACGAGCAATCGGATCACCTGATGGTAAGTGATTACCGTCGCCTATAGTCCCAGGGGCGTTACAGGTGCGTTGCCGGCTTTTAAGGTGAAGATACGCTCTCTTCTTGAAGGCTTGCAGGTCGTATCCGTCCGGAAATTGAAGGTAGGTTAAAATTAAACTAATAAAAAGATCGTTCAGCCTACTTCCAAAAGTAACTGTGCTCTAAAAACGAGTTTAAAAAATGATTAAGTTTTTGTTCGGAGGTTTGTAATGAAAAACATTGAAGGGGCTAGATAGAAGCTATAATTATATGATTTTGGATTAAATATTGTGTTTTCAGGGTTCCGTAGTCAATAAGAAGCCCTAATAAATTACAAGATCCGTTGCACATATTTTCACCATACTCCTCCATGTGAATGTATATAGTTCAGTTTAAGAGACTCTACAATTTACTAGAAGGCTTATTAAGTACTAGAGGCCGCCCGCGACTTCGTACGCGTGGATGCCGTTTTACCCCCTTAGGGGTGGAGTTTCGTAAAATACTTTCTTATCGGATGCCTACATCGTAACATCTACCTGCATGCCAAATTTCAGCCCGATCTGTCCAGTGGTTTGTGCTGTGCGTTGATAGATCACTATGTCAGCCAGTCAGCCATTCAGTCAGTCAGTCAGTCAGGTAGGTAACCCTTTTACCTTTGAGTTTAGGATATCTACTTATCAAAAAGTTATATGAATACAAACTTGGCCATTATTAATTTCATGACAACAACACGAAAGCAAAATCGATAACAAATCGGATGCAAACATCGATAAGAAAATTAATAAACGGTAGCATACCGATAAAATTACAAGTTTCACACCAACCAATTTGCCCGTATCCGTATTTTTATCTTATCTGGCAACACCGATACAGGTGGGATTTGTTTGACGTTGGCAACACTCAAATCGAGTGGCTGTGAATGTAATTACGATGGAAAGCTTTTTCTGTACCGACATGGGTGATAACGTCATTGTAAATTGACAAGTTTTGTAGGAAATATTAATAATATGACACACTAGCTGTGCCCGCAATTTCGTATGCGTATAAATATTAAATATTTTTTCCCGTTTCTGCAACATTATTCATTGATGCTTTGCTCTTATTAGTCGTAGCGTGATGGTATATAGCCTATAGCTTTCTTCGATAAGTGAACTAACTGTCACAAGAAGATTTTTCAAATCGAACCGGCAGTTCCGGAGATAAGGGCGTTCAGCCAAACTCTTCAGCAAATATAGCTCCAAAGCAAAATAGAATTTATGCGTTCACGAGCTAGCACTAGTGTGGCATTTACAGTTCCGTCTGTCACTGTCAGTCTGGTCATACTAGCATCTAGCTATGAGTGATAAACATGGCAACACTTAAAATGGAAAGGCATAACCCCTTTCAATATTATCCAGGATTTTGTAAGAAAACATCAGGTAGGTATCTTACATTTGTGTAAACATAATGTGACCACTTACCAATAGAGTTTTTCTTTAAGTAAGGACATATTTATCTCTTTTCTTAGCATTAATCCACATTTATTGTTATGCCAGAGAATCTGTTGTTTCAACTTTATTAAGTACGTACTCAAGTGCCTCCAAAGACAAGTGAAGCCACAGGAAAAGCCTATCAAAACATGGCCATTGTTCCATCTCATCTGCCATTGTGCCTTTTGTCCGTATGTCTGTCAACTACACAATATCGCATAAATAGCTACTATAAAACTTTTAGTGTTACACAGTCGTATAATAGTCATATAGTAGATCCATAACGTTTGTACCGAAACCGAGGCGTTCCCGTGAAGGGTAGAAAGCACGTCGTTGTAATTCGAGCTCTTTTGTTTGTTGTTTAGGTATAGTTTTGTTTAAGGTAATACGTGGCGGGGAAAAGAGTTGTAGGGCCATGAGATGGGAAGCTTTATTGAGGTTAGTGCTTGAAAAGTGGATGATGTTTCCTACAGAGAGCTATTCTAGAAATAAATTAGGACGCACTACATAGCGGACGCGTACCGGAAAACGCAGCGTGGGACGTCCACCCCAAGGTGGACCGACGACATTATAAAGGTAGCAGGAAGGCGCTGGACGCAGGCCGCTACCAACCGGCCAACATAGAAAGCATTGGGGGAGGCCTATGTACAGCAGTGGACGTCCTGTGGGTGAGATGATGATGATGATGACATAGCGCTGAACCGAAAATTTCATAATAAAGTAAATACGCATAACGCACCTCAGAAAACGAAAATATTTTTTTCATCTGTATTTATTCTTATTTATTAACAACAAGACTTACCTACACAATTTTAGACAATTAATATTTTTGAAGTTCTTTAGAAAAATATTGGCTTAATTGATTGGCGAAGAACTAGTTAATAAAGTTTTATCTATAAAATGAGTATCAGGGATGCTGCGTTCCTTCCGCTAACTTCGTGGCCACATCAAGGGGTTGCGTGACGGGACCAACGGCGTTTTCCGGAAACCGGAGGGGGGAGAATAAAGATGGCGGCGGCGGATGTAGAGACACGTGCTCCGCGCGCACCGGAAGTCCTGTTCGCATCCATTGAATTATGGACGCACAATAACTGAAAGTATCTTGGTTTTTCTCGAATATTTCTGTTGTGTGATTGGATATAGAAGTTACAGCGTTTTTCGATTAGCTAATGATGTATTTATATCTATAAAAGCGAAAGGTCACTGATTGACTCACTCACCACGAAATCTCAGAAACTACAAGTGCTAGGAGTCTCAAATGGCAATGTCAGATTTTGTATGGAAAGTGGCGTCTTTTTTTTTCGCGCGGCCATCGACCCAACTTTGTTTTTTGATTACAAAATAGTATAATAAACCAAACAAAATATAATAAACAAAAAGCAAATCTAGTATGAAAATCATCAAACTTCTAATGCTCGTAACTCAGTTCAGACTGAGTTTAGAGGTATACATGTCATAGTCGTTTCAGCCAAATGACGTCCACTGCTGGACAAAGGCCTCCCCCAAGGTTTTCCACAATGAACGGTCCTGCGCTGCCCGCATCCATAGTGCCGCATCCACATGTCATAGTAAGTTTGGTTTATTACACTATTTTGTAATCAAAAAACAAAGTTTGGTCGATAGCCGCGCGAAAAAAAAAGACGCCAATTTCCGGCATTGTCTTTTTGCATAGGGGTTCCTTTTAGAACGTAGGTGCTCACTAAGAACGGATTTTACGAAACTCCATCCCTAAGGTGGTAAAACGGGATCCACGCGTACGAAGTCGCGGGCGGCCGCTAGTCTATACTATAATATTACAAAGCTGAAGAGTTTGTTTGCTTGTTTTTTTTTATGGGACAGGAGGCTAGTGAACGCGCTTATCTTGGAAACTACTGGTACGATTTGAAAACATAATATTTTTGAGTGGGATAGCCCATTTTTCGAGGAAGGCTTTAGGCTATAATAATAACATCACCATACAGTCAATTGGGGCGGAGCAGTAAAGGAAAATGTTGCAAAAACGGGAAATATTATTCAAACTATTATTACGCGTACGAAGTAGCGGGCAAAGCTAGTTTTATTATATTTTGTTATGTGTGATAAAATTGCCTATCTTCAAATTGTGAAACTTCCTGATCACAATAAATCGTTGTTATAAGTAAAAAAATTAATCAAATTCTTAAAAAGTTATAATTGAAATAGAATAACGAGTGCGATAACAAAATTTTATAGAGGTGTAATAATTATTTACGAATGGTACTTACGATTACAATTAATATGAAAGATGTATAATACTTTTGAGGGAGAATTTCGTATCGAATAAGTACCTACTAACCTTTTTAATTGAAATTAGGTACTTAGGTAACCTACTCATCATTAATTTGAGTGAAACAATCATTATAGATATTTTTCCAATATGGTCGCTACCGGTTCCCTGTGTAGCCAGAATCTACAGCTTGACCGCCTAAAAACCCAACCAGTGAAGGTCAAGTTTGTACCGGGGGAGAGTTAGCTTTTTAAACAAAAAAATATTTATCTTACCTGTTAATGCTAGATACAGAAGGCACGTTATCCTGGCTGCAGATCCCTTCACTCAGCAGCCGGTCCCGGATCTCCCAGGCGAACATCGTCGGGTTCTCTCGCTTGTACGCCGCGATGGCGTCGACCACCGGCGGCGTCGCCACTTTGGGCTTAGAGCCGCCGATCACGCCGGCCTTGAAGCTGCCGGTCTCGTAGTACCTGGAAGGGAAAATGGGTTAATAAGGTATGTAAAAGGTTAGGTATGGATTTGGTGATTGAATTTTACAATTCCAAAACAGATTTTAGCCTCCCATCAGCCGTGTAAAAGACACCAAGTAAAGATTTTTCCAATGTTTTTTTTTTCGAATTCTAATCTAGACACGTGGCAGCGTGTCAAGCCAAGTTCAAGCAAAGGAACTGGCTAGCCAGCGCCGAGTGTAATACTACACGAACCATTTGGTGCCATAAATTGATCACTTGATAAACTGTGCTTTTGTAAGATCTTATGCACACTGGGATAAGCAATAAATAATTGAGGATTGATAAAATCCACTACTACCTCAGGTGACATTTGAACACTTTGTCATGCAAGCGCACTGAGCCACGTTTATTAAGTGGTTTTATGTTAACTATAGTTAATAGTAATTTAATAATTTTAGTATCAGTCAATATTTATTAGAATTCAAATTACCTGCCTTGTCTTCTATACTTATAATAAATCTGTAGAGAGGTCAATTCTGTACATTAAATATATTTTCAAAATAACTATCAGGGGGTGATTAGTGATCGATACTGATGCCAAAAATGCAATCAGTAAAATTTTTGTCTGTCTGTCTGTCTGTCTGTCTGTCTGTATGTTCCTTATAGAAACAAAAACTACTCGACGGATTTTAACGAAACTTGGTACAATTATTCTTCATACTCCTGGGCAGGTTATAGGATACTTAGGAATTCCCACGGGAATGGGAATTAGCGGGAAAATCGTATTGTATGAAAAATCTGAACCGCTTAAGTTAGACGCTTGAAATTCGGCATGCAGGTACCTTAGTAAACTTAAAGCTTAGCTACAACAGGATATTGCAAAATTCCCACGGGAACGGGAGTTAGCGGGAAAAAACACTTGTATGAAAAATCTAAACCGCTTAAGTTAGACGCTTGAAATTTGGCATGCAGGTACCTTAGTAAACTTGAAGCTTAGTTACAACAGGATATTGCAAAAATCCCACGGGAACGGGAGTTAGCGGAAAAAAACATTTGTATGAAAAAATCTAAACCGCGTAAGATAGATGAAGGGAGTAAAACGGGATCCACGCGTACGAAGTCGCGGGCGGCCGCTAGTTATGCATAAAAAAGTAATGCTGCTGAGGGACAGTGTATTTATTAATGTCAACGAATGTCCTATGAAAAAATTACAAAATTTTCGTTTCAAAACAAAAAAGAAACGCTGACAAAAACCCGTTACTAACAACCAAACGACAACCAATTCGCTACCAACTGTTAAAAATCCGAAATCACATCAAGTATGTCTAAAAAAATCGCACCATATTGGGTCCTATTCCCAAATCACCCATAAACTTGTCCCGCCCCTCCCCTGGGGCATGGCATTAGAACTGACGAAAATTAAATTTCCCCCAATAAAATAATGGACGGTATTATGACAATTTGATTAGTTGGCCCGATCTACCCTTTCGTGGGGATGCATTTGCGATTTGAAATAATTATTTTTTTGGAGTAGAGTTATGTGACACTTGTAGTTGGTCAAGGGAAGTTCGGTTTTATTGCTTATCAATGATGATTGTAATAATAGTTAATAGGTTTTAAAATACATTTTTAGACGAAACATAATTGCTTTATTCTATACTTAATCTATTTTTTGGACACTTGTACGACATTGGATTAAGTTGAATTCAAATAACTGCCAAGTTTGAGTTGGTGTATCTTAGATTATTTATTTTTTGCCAATCTTGGAAAGTAGGTATTAGAACTTGTAAATATTATGAGAAATAGCATTGATGGAATAGAGACGATTCAACCTTTGTTTTTATAGAATTTTGACAATACCTCAACATCTTTTACTTTCACTTTTAGTTTAAGATCACCACCTATGTACACTTATGAAGCAATAAATGATAATGATTATGATCTTCTGGGGCATTGGTAATTTTTACGTTCGATCGTTTTGACAAAGGCCTCCCCAAATTATAAATGAAAAAAAAAATATTCAGAAAAATACAGTTTTGGGTGGTAAACATAAAAAAATTCAACATCTCTTCATAAACCGATGACTTTAACCTTAAGACATTAACTAACGACTCTCTTACCCGTAACACGTTCTTTAATACCATTTTTCGCATCCCAAAACTCAAAAAGGTCACATCACACATCCCATTTGCAAATGTCCCCGTTCTCCCCTTATGAAGCTATTCATTTTGTCGAACATTGTATCCCAGGGGATGACACCCTAAGGAGCTGTAAGGTAAGGGATTGTTTAATTTGTTTTTGAGATGGCTGATTGTTTTGCATTATTGTTTATTGATTTGTATCATGGGAACTCTAATTAATAAAAGTAAATTAGTAACAGTGTTAGTTGGATATGTTTTTCTTATTATAATAGTCTGTTCGTTTGGTATCAATCAAATAACAAAAAAAAATAGAGACATTTTAGAGTCCCCACAGACTACAATACAACAGACTGTTTCGTTCGTTCGTTCATTCGTTTCAGCCGAAAGACGTTCACTTTCAAAACGAACAGATTTTTTATCGGCCAATAGTTTAACGGGGGTGATAATCAGTATGAACAATTAGTGTGAAAATACCCACATTACACCGATTTGGTATTGCCCGACTCCTCATATACCTAAATTAATTCGACTTAACACTCTTGATCGAAAAAAAATCAGAAACAATTTTCTGATCTTTTACCAAATACCAACCGAATTGCGAACCTCCTCCATTTGTTGAAGCCGGTTAAATATCATCCTTAATTCAAATATAACTCAAAAATTACATTGAAATTGCGCCCAAAAAACACTCAACGTTAATAAATCCGGATTAATCCGGTTACATCATTACAACCGGTTTGAACCGCATTCGGTCGGTTAGTGTTAGGGCGGGCGCACACTCGCGAATTATTCACAAACGCACTCGGGATAAGTCAATTACAAGTGTGATCACACCCTACGAGAGTGCTAGAGGTACAGTGGTGTACAAAAAAAGTATTATAGACTATTTTTACGATGTCTAATGATTATTTATATTTATTAGCCGAGATCAGTCCTAGAGATGTTGACTTTTTAAAAATTTTAGTAGAGATTTGTGGCAAGATTTGATTTGATTACTTAATTTAGCTTAGCTTCCGCCAAACACCCTGTATGTATAGTCAAGCCCTGTTCAAACTACTTAATTAAAACAGTGTAGTTACATTTTCGTTCTTTTATTTCTGTTTTGTCTCTTTTCATCATAATTAAATTATTTAACAGAACATTTATGTATCTTTACATTTTTTAAATCAACTGTCTTTGTTTTTGAGACAAAACTGACGTTGTTGTTTGATAAATCTTAATTTAATACTTTAAATATCTTTTTCATATTTAAAAAAAACTCAAGATTTTTTTCGTGCTAGACGTATACGCACACAACTGTACTCCGGGTGCATTAAACAAGGGCGCTAGAGAGGGTTCTTGGAGTATCGGTAACCATTATCGAAATGCCGAGGGTTCCGTACACAATGTCATCCCAAAACATACCGTAACATCTTAATAATAGAACTCATTATTGAGTGTGGTTTGAAAAAATCATTCTGGTAAAAATATATTGGCATTATTACAGCGCAAAAAGACTAGTCGAATTTTAGTCGTTTTAAAATGGTTTCTAAATGTATAGGAATAGAAGTTACTTTTAATTATTAATTATAGTGTTTTGGAGTTCTTTGATCTTTAGAAGTAAAGTTTTTCACTAAAGTGTACAGAATATTAATAAGCTAGGTATAGGTAAATATTTTTGGTGTACATTATTTTAGCTAAGCCTTCTCTACCTTTATAATATTAGAGTACCTAGACAGACATGATATTAATAAAATAGATTCCTACATGAGTATTTTGTAGGTGTACACCTAACAATAAAAGAAGTTCACTTCTTAACTGATAATCTGTCTACAGTTGGATACCAATGACTCAGTTACGTGCCAAAAATCTGAAAGTGTAATCAACCTTATTATTTGCTCTTATTTAGTTGCATCAATTAAATTAAAAATAACCGTATAAATACTTATAGAAATACGAAAATAATTCACTTCACAAGCAATAAACAGCAGCATTATTAGGCGTAACCGCCATAATCCGGCTGGAGCCGGTTCAAACCGGTTCCAACCGCACTAAGCCGCGACAAGCCGGTTACGGTCCTTATCGCGATCGCCAATATGTCTGACACTCGACACGGACAAATTGTTTTATAGCTACGTATCTGATGGAGATTATCGGTATGGTGGGGTTTATTGTTTAGATTACAAGTGCACGATGGTGTATTGAGGAAACCACTATGGTTGGTATTAAATGTAGCTTAGTATTTTGTATAATGAAATTCTTCTTCTTCTTGTCGTGACGACAACAAACCCACACAGTGTGAGCAAAAAACTAAGGTGCTCGCAGAATATCAGCGTCGAGGTACTACGTGCCTTGGCATATGCTGAGCGAGGACCTGTTTGGTACAATTTTAATTTTAAGTTTTAATTTGTAATTTGTATTGTGTTGTGCCAAATAAAGGTATTTTTTTTATTTTATATTTTAAACTCGGCTCTGCATATGAAATTGTTATGTACAATTAAATATTTTGGAGAATTTCAAGACAAACTAATTTTTCAGGAAAAATATGTGGGGTCGTCATTATAGAAAATGTCTGATGTGCTGTCGTCTGTAGGCCCCATATTTCTGCGTTAATTAGATCTTTGAATTCATCAAGCTGTACTGGGTATAATTAAGTTCGTTTAGAATAGGTAATTCCATAACTTGACCCGACCAGAAACCGAACCAGCTTTTGCACTATTGGACGCTACGTCATCGGGCCGAGCTCTACAAATCTTATGAATTGTGTTTCCTGTAATAAACAAAAGACTGACAAGGGTGACTCAGTTTCTTCCGCCACTTCTCAGCGCCAGCTTATATGTTGTCCCGAAGTGGTTGTAGGGCAAGCGATATTAAGACATAAAAGAACCTTCATACTAA